GATAATTCATATTCCCTGAAGGGGGAGTCTTGTGGGAATAGAAAAGGATGAAACCTGGCAAAAAAAGAAGATAGCTATTTATAAGGAGAGATGCATTTTATTGCTCTAGGAGAAAATAATTCTGATTTGGTTGAATAGTAAAAATACAGTTCATACATATGCAATTAAAAATATCCACATTTTTTAAAATGTCTATGTAATCGGGCAAGTAACAGCCCTGTTCCTTTGGTGCTACAAAATTGTGAGTGTAAGGGAGAGTCGGGTCAGGGACAGGGCAAGGATAATTACTTAGTAGGCACAGTTGGGGAGAAGGACTGTGCCAGGGGTGAATGTTGCCTGATTAAGAGCCAGTGGCTATTAAAATCCATGGGATGGGTCTATTCTTTGCCATCTGGGGCACGGCACAAGGAGAGTCAGTGGGGAAAGCCAGGAGTGGCAAACCCGGTGCTGGAGTGGGTCACTGATAAAACTGGCTGACCAGGTAAAGGTAACTACGGTGATCAGCAAGCCAAAGAGGTAAGAGAGGGGGGAGATACTTACCAGGTTGATCTTCAGGTGGATAGAAGGTCCCACAGAAGAAAAATCTACTGATACCTGCAAGGGAAGGAAAGAGACTGGAGGTGAGCCAACTGGCTCAGAGGAGTGAGTTGTATGGTGGTGGAGGGTGGAGGGTGAAGGAAGACCACACGCTGTGAAAACAGTTGGGTTATTCACAACCTGCTGGGAATTCATTAATAAACCAATTTTCTTTTATCCTGCTTCTAGGGTGATTTACTATACCCTCTCTCATTGAGGAATTAACTTCTTATTCTTCCATTACATCAGGGTGTGGCAGGTGAGCCCCAATGAGAGAGATTGTGTTAGTTACCCCCACATGGCCACAGTGCAACTAATTCATATGTATAGGAAAAAATGTACAGACATTGTACCTTGTTCATTCACGTATATACAAAGATGCAGCTAGGACTTCTTAGTTGCTTATTCCTCCATTTCAGAAAGTGTGAAAGATACTTGGCACTTGTGTGAAAAGTACTTGGTAACTGTGGTCATATCAGGTGGAAGATACAGAGCAGTTTCACTGGCTTGTCAGTCCACTTTTATTATCTGGGCAAAAAACAAAGGTTGGTTTGTTTGTTCCAGGCTGAGAGAGGGGATGACAGAGGGATTCTGGGTGAACTGTTTTGGGGCCAATTTGGTGATGTTTGCCAGACATTTAAGGCTGGTGAAGAAACAGGAATCATTGGAAATAGGAATGAAAATCTCAGCTCAGCTGTGGGAGTGAAGAGCAAGTTGAAATGCATGCAATGTAGTGGCTCACCATGACTTGAAAGGAGTTGGCATTGAAGGGAACTGTGTTCAGTAGGCACTACCATATTTTTTATTCAGATAGGTTGTACTTTATAATCATGCTCAGTGGGTGTATCTACATGTCACCCTATGTCGCTGTAGCAACATGCTACATCACCGTACAACCCGCTATGGTGACCTAGTGCTATCACATGAGTCTACATGGGTTTGGCAGCTACTACACCATAGCAGTGCTCTCCCCTGTTTTAGCGAATCGCTACAGTGAAATAGTGGTGAAAACTAGCCACACACACAGAGCGCAGTATGGGCGATTACTGTGCCGTGGTTTAGTACTGCCTTTTGGAAGTACAGTTATAAAAGGAAATACTAAACATTATAGCGCCGTGCCTTAGTACTTTCTTTTGTAAGTGTACTTCCAAAAGACAGTACTAAAGCACAGCGCTATAAAGTTGCCATAGGGTGATGTGTAGACATGCCCAGTGTTGGCTGCATTTAATCAATTTTCTACTTGGTTTTCTTTACTTAGCACATGCTGCTTTTAGCAGTAGTTCAAAGGTAGGCAGGGTGTGTCTACATGAGATGTGTTACTGTTCAGTAGACTAATCTGTGCAGTAAAATGTCGCTGTCTACAAGTGCATGGTATTTACTGTGCAGTAAATTAGTTTGTGCAGTTAGCTACTACTTGTAAATACTGTAGTTACCATTCAGTAGTGCTTATATAGACGCTGATCAGGAGCAAATTTACTCCTGGTTAGCCACGCAGGCAGGGGGTCGCAGGAGGTGGGGTGTTCTCAGTCTCTGGTCCTGGCTCTGCTCAGGTTCTGGCTCCCCACAGGAGCTGGAAGCTGATCAGCACTGGGACAGGGACATTTTTTTTACACTCCCTCTCCCCCCCATCTCAGTGCTGTGCAGGTCCAGGAGCCAGCAGCTGATCAGCACAGGGACTGGGGAGCTCTTTGCTTCCCTATTCAGCCAGGGGCTCACTGGAAGCTCTCCTTCTTGTGGGGCAGCTGCCAGTAAACCCCCTGCTGGGCATGGGGCTTGCTGACAGCTGTGTGTCCCAATGTGCACAGGACCAAGATAGCTCTGCCAGCTGCAGTGGCAGCTCTCTCTTGGCCCTGTGCATATCAGGACCCCTTCTGATGTGCACAGGGGCAGGAGACATCTGCCACTGCAACCTGCAGAATTCTTCTGGCCCAGTGTGCATTGGGACCAGCCCCCATACAACCTGCCAGCCTTCAAACTAGCACCTAGGGAGAGCCTGGAGCTTGCCCTGGGTGCTGCAGAAAGATAAGACAGGGCAGAAGTGGCCCATATCACATTAATAAAGTGTAGAGACGCACCTGCAATGTATTTAATCAGTTTCCCTTGTATGCAAATGTAAAATGAGGGGCTTTTGTCCCCATGTTGCCTCGGGAGAAAAAACAGGCACATCTACTCATGCAATTAATGCCTTGAAAGCTTACTGTACAGTAAGCATTCCCTGGCAGGGCATCTACGTGTGCTCCCTTTTGGAGCACATTTGCTTTGGACAGGAGCAGTTCAGTGCAGGGCTACTCCAACCCTGATGTACCCCCCTACAGCAGCCAGGGTGTACATCAGGGGGCACCAGGATCAGGCCCTGGTCTCTGAGGGGTGGGAAAAGCTGTCCTGCCTCTGGGACAGCAGCCTTGTGCCCCAATCAGCAGATTGGGGGAGGGGGCTGGGAAAATGTTCACCCCCACAGCTGCTGCTCCTTAGCCCCCTGCCCTGATTGGCAGACCAGGGCAGGGGGTTGGGAAGAAGTTACCCGGGGGAAGGGACAGTTTTGTTTTTTTTCCACCCCCTGCTGTCTTGGTTGACTGGGAGCAGTTTGCTTCTGGTCAGCAGTCTGCAGTAGTTACTGCAGGTAGTAGCTAACCCCATAGTAGACTAATATACTGCACAGTTAATGCTGCACACATGTAAATGATTAGTCTACTACACAGTAAAGTGTCTTTGTACTAGATACACCCATCTTGTCTTAAATTTGAGTATTTGGTAAATTATCCTGTTGGCTTCCATATGACTTCTCTTATACCAAGCTCTTTTCATATAAATATTTTCAAGATTGGTACTCTGATCTGTGTCGAGAGAAATTTTAAAGTTGCAAAGACAAGTGCTCAAAAATCAGGAAAGGCCAAACTTGAGATGGTACCTGCAACCTTTTATCTTCTGCTTTTGTTTTATTTGTGTGAGTCTAGTCTAATTATATTGTTGCTTTTGGATTGACATCCATTTCAGAGACTGTCTCAGAAGCTGTGGAATTCTGCACCTAAAACTTCAGATGTTTATATAGAGTCATCCAGTCCAACCCTCTGCTCAAGGCATGATTATCCCTTCCCAAGCTATCCTAAAAAAGTGTTTGTTTAACCTATTCTTTAAACCTTTGGGGGGGAACCCTTCTGTACAACTGCCAGGCATAATGCCTGAAAAATGAAAAATTTGCTGTAACTTGCCATAGATAAAGCAGGGGGATGAGGATGCTGTCATGTCCTATCACTGCAAGGACAGGAAGTAACATAAGGAACAGGAAGAGCAGAAATATACAACTTCACAAATTCCAAATAAAAATTCCTGTTGTTTTTCTGGAATGTGTTTGTTCTCATCATTGTCCCTCTCCCTAGTCAAGAATCAACTAAAATTTCCACTCTTTCTAACATTGCTTTCTACTATTGTCTGAACATGCATCCCAGCACCAGCCCTGTCTCTTTCCTTTTGCCCTATTTCTAATAGTGGCACCAATAAAACATAGAACAAATGATAAGAAATTTTAATCCTAAACTAATGACTTTAAATTAGTTTCCCCCTTATTTCTGTCCTTTCCACTTATGCTTTTCTCTTTTTTCAACTCCTTATCTTCTGCTATGCTTGTTTTCAACTTTTTTATCATGCACTGTTCACTCCCTTTTTCTGATTTCACTTTTGCCCACCAAGTATGAAGGCTGCTTTTCAGCCTGCCTTTTTTTTTTAACTAATCAAGGACCCAGGCCACTAGAAGTTGCCTCACTCTCAGCTACTTTCATTCAGCAAAGACTTCTCATCTTGATATTTCAGCCAGCTTCTTTTCCACCTCTTTCCTTCTGCCTGAGTTTTGGTGGTCCTCTGAGCATGGGATGTTCAGCTGGCATTGGCTTTTTTTTCTTTGTGATTAACAAATACTTGCAGTGGTTTTCTGAATCTATGCTTTCCCACAGCATGCAAGACATGAATCTAACAGATCATGGGAACTCCTTAGAAGGAACAAAGCTCCTGGAATGCAGAGTGAAAGAGACAAGAGTCTTGATTTCTTCCTCGTCTCCTGAGCCAAATTTTGTTCACTTCTACAGGAGTGGACACCTAGAATTATTCGGGTTAAATCAGTTAACATGCCTTTGGTATGGAATGGAGCCATAAAATGGCAGCACAGTCCTAAGCTTTAGCTTTAAGTAAATACTGTGGTCATTATCTAATAGACAGCATTTGTGGACAGATGCCACACAAGTTTCTTTTCTGACCTAAGTGTAAAAAACCTAGAAGTTTTTCAGGTGTCATTATTTTGGCAAATGTTGAGTTTTTATATATAGTGACTATAATTAGTTACTATATATAGCAACAATAATTGAAGTGCAGTCTTATGCTCCTATATCTCCCGATCCATCTTCCTTTATAATATTTTTGCTATTCCATTCCAGATCAAAATTGAAAAAGAGCTCAGTAGTCTTTATAAGAGAATGTTTGAACCCCTCCATGTGCCTCCAGAACTGTTTAAGAGATTAACTGGGCAGTTCTGCAACATTCAGACTTTAAAAACAGGTCAAGCGTATGCTGCAGAAGATAAAACCTCTGTTGATGATCGACTAAGTATTCTGTTAAAGGGAAAGTAAGTATTTGGTTCTGTATTAGGTTTGGAAATAATCCTTATGTATTGGATGATGGGGGGGATTGAAAGGTTTTTTGTTTGTTTGTTTTTAAATTGTTGTTTGCAGTATGTTGCAATTAATCTTTTTTTCTAAATCCAAACTGTGCCATATACATATATCATATGAGCCCACTGAGTTTAGTAGGAGTTGGACTTTTATACTTCTAAAAATATAACTTGTCCAGAATCTCCAAAGATATTTGTTCAGATAGAAATGTTGTTTTTGTTATTGCTCACTCAGGCTTTAATACTGAAGTTTAGCATATTTGAAAGTAAAATACATCCAGCCATCTGGTAGATTTTAAACAAGAGAGTGGAGAAGGGCCAGACTTGGTGCAGAGACA